ACTTTTCCTTGGCCAATGAAGAACTTATGCTCAAACATACAAATTGTGCTTATGATTTCCAAAAATTTAACAAACCCAGATTTCCTAGCACCTCAAATAAGAAATGTTTTGTCTTTTATTTTTTTCAACTAATTTTACTAATTTAACTCAAAAGTGTTTTTTACATGTATATGCAGAGTGATGCTGATTTAACCTGTTTAGTGTAAACTTCTGCAGAAAATGCAGCAATTAAAAAATGTATTATCTCCAAGTTTAACAGTAAATAAAATGTAACTTCTCAACAGTTAAAGTAAACTTTATGACATATGGCATTTTTCCAAATAAAACTCATAAAAAAATAAATTAATTTAAAAAAAAAATCACTGACAATGTTGCGCTCGAACAGCTATGACTGTCAATTAGCTAGTAGGAAACAAAAAAAAATCTGGTCTTTCTCCAAACAGCGAACTCTCCAAACATAAGCTCTACCAGGACAATGACATTCTTTAGAGCAGGAGAAGTAACTGCAGGAAGAAGACTCATCTGCTATTTTCAGTGTCAGTGTAGGTGTTTAAAAATGAAGTCAGAGGAAACACAAAACGGTTGTAAAAAGCTGTGAAAAGGAAACTGAATTTCCTTCAGCAGCAAGTCGTCTGTTCATTCAGGCCGACACAACGTGGAGCGAGATGTCAGCAGATAAATGGAAATTGAAATAATTAGAGCAAAATCACTTTTCCTTTTTTCTTTTGGAGAATCTGATTCTCTCTGTCTCACGGAAAGCAATATTAGACCCTCACTCGAACAATCCTAATCAACAAATAAAGACATTTTAAAATGCAAACTTTGTAACCTTTTGAGCTTGTACTAAAATGACAGTGAAAACCCTCCAATAGCTGCAGAGCTGTATGATGCCGACTGTTCTAATATAAATAATGATTCATTATGAAAAAGCTTGTTTTATCTACTTTACAGTTACGACCAATATATATTCACAAAATGAATCAGACTGCAATTTAAACATCCTAAATATTAATACCAATAGTTTTTGCTAAAAAAAAAAATATTGGTATTTATTTGGAATGAATCCTGTAGAAAAAGGTTGAAGAAATCTTGTGAATTATTTCTGGTTTGATTTTATTTGGACAGACGTGTTTTTTTTTATAATCTGAAACGTTTTACAGTCGTTTTGATTTCAGTGATGTAGAGACACATTTCTGCAACTTTTGGGTGTTTTTGAGAATTTTCTTTTTTGATTGTAAATTTAAATTAAGACCATATTTTTTTCATTGTATTCAGCCAGAAGAAAGATAAGTGTGTTATTTCTGATTTCTTAAGAAGAAATCGTAAATGGATTAAATTAGTATCTGCAGGTCAGAGCTTCACAAAACTCAAGCTGAATCTAAATAATAAATACATGGAAATAAATAAAAAGGAAGAGAAATCACTTGCCCTTCTAAATGGTGACATGCAAAGTTTTTTTTCTCCTTTTTTATAGGTAGAGGAAAAGGAGGAACTGTTGTATTTAGTCCCCTCCCCACACCCTTCTGTTCTTGACTGGTGATTTCAATGAACAGGAGCCTCTCTCTTTGGCTCTGTCCATCACAGTCTGTGGCCATTAATCATCTCAAGTGGACAGCGCTGAAAGGCAGTTGGCAGCATCAGTCTTTTTTCCCCTTCATCATGTAGACTAATTTACACCACCCCTAATTCGCAGCCCCACTTTTTCTCCTCTCTTGTCCCCCCTTTCCACGATGACACAGCAACTGGTTATCCAAGCAGGACAATCCCTCTCCAGCTTAATCGAAATCCTTAAGGCGGTTAATGGTGACAAGCCAGATTGAGGCTTTTTCCTTCCCTACAGAGAGTAGAATCGAGACAGGAGAACCATAATGGATCTAATGAATAGCCGTCGTAACTTATCAGGGCAATGTAGACTCCTCCAATGTGGGCAGCTCTAATCCATTTATATTACATGTACATGTCAGGCCATTAGCTAATGTTTGCTCCTGCAACAAATAATTAATATATACATGAGGTTCTTGGGTTGATTAAGGCTGAGATTATGCTCAATAATTACTAAACAACAAACACAACTGAGTTCAGCCGTAAATGCAAAACAAGATGCCAGCAGAAGATAAGAACTATTATGAAAAGTTAGCAAAAAGGTAAAGGTTGAAGAGGCAGTTTGTGAGTAGCTTCTGCTTTATCTGTGATCCAGAGAGCATCAATGGGCCCCTCACACAATTTAGGACAGCTGCTGAAATTCCTTCACCATTAACACACACACAGGCATGTTTTTAAACTGCAGAGGCAGGAAATGGGAATCCCTCGTAATTTTTCCTTCCGCTGTTGCTTTCCTTTCAAGACTCAGAGGCCCCTTGCCAAGGTGGGAAAAATCACCTCACCATTTGTCTGTCCCATCTCAAGAGTTTACTGAATTTTGCTGAACCTCACAAAATAAAATAGTATTTCTAAACTTTTTACTTAATAAATTAGTTTTGTAAATCAAATTTTTGATGAAATTGAAAACAAAATGAAAACAAATTCAAATTATTTTGTGAGACTTTAAAGTAAAAGATGTGAACTCAGAACTTGAAGAGTAACAGTTCAATCAAAAATTAGGATTAAAAGTCAAATAAAACATTTTAGAGAAAGAAAACCTAAAACGTATAAAATCACAAAAGAAGTGTGGCCACAAATTGATAAAATTTTAGGTAATCTCCAGAAGCTGTAGTATTTGTTACTGACTGTTGACCCTTGCACTCCCTCACTACCTCACACTTGTACAAGATGACACAGGAACGTGATCCGTGCAAGTCGACTCCTCTAACGCTTTCTGTAACACACACCAGAAATATAATTTGGCTCAAACTCCTGCACAGATAAACAGCACAACTCTTATTGTTTTTAAATCTAAACTTAGGACTGTAGAAGTATATAACCAGGTTGAGAGAAATTGAGAGAAGTATGTCCTGAGTTCAAAGGACCTGAAAAACTTAAGTCTCTCTGGCTCTGCTCAATCCATTACAGTCTAAACAAGAACTCCAGGTGTGAAGACCAGATCAAGGAGAGGCCGCTGTTTTGTAGATGGTGCTTTGGCATTAGACAAGCTCAAAAATCATAAATTTTTGTGGCATTTGTTTGTAAAGAGAAAAATTAGTTACATGTTTTTAGTCTGAGTTTAGTTTGAGTTTCAGAACATCAATATATGTAGCCTGTTCTGGAAATCAGCCACCAAAGACCCAACAATGAAATGATTACATTTACTAATAGCTACAAGAGATTGTTTTGCTTGCATCTTATTTTTAGTGCATGACCTTTCCAAACTTTTTGATACTGTTTTTAATCCTACTGATGATGTCAAATGTAAATATAGACAGAGAACTAATGTTTGTAGAAAGTTTTGGAAATGAACTTGAAATGTTTCAACATTTAGGCGTCCCAGAAATATGTAACGATGTTTCACCAACAAAACTTTGAAAATGTGGTGAGCATTTGTATTTACCCTCCCCCAAGCCAGTGCTTTGTAGAAAAACCCTACAAGTACATTTCAAGTTCCTGTAGGATGCATCTTTACCAGCTTAGTATACATATAGACTGCGATTTCTGCCCATTTCTCCCCATCACTTTGGTTCAGTTAGATTGAATAAGAAGCATCCGTAAATAAATTTTAAGTCTTACAACAGATTCTCAATTGGTTCTGGGTCTGGGCAATTGCAACACACCAATACTCTTTGATCTAAACCAGGGGGCTTTAAATCCAGGCCTCAAGGGACGATGTCCTGCAAGTTTTAGATGAATCAAATGGCTGAATCGCCTCCTCAGTATGCACTCAAGTTCTCTGGAGTCCTACTAATGACCTCATTATTTGACTCAGGTGTGCTGAAGTAAAGAAACATCTAAAAGTTGCAAGATACCAGCCCTCAAGGCCTGGAGTTGAAGACCCCTGATCTAAACCTTTCCATTGCTGCTCCGGATGTATTTTTAAGGTTGTTGTCCTGCTGAGATGTAAAGTGTCAGATCTTCAGCAGTCTATCTAATCTAAACAACTAGTCTATTGACTATTCCTTTTATATAGATATCAGAGTGAAGGGGGCTAAACACAAATGCAAAGCAAATGTTTCAGATTTTTTTGTGAAAAGATCAAAAAAAACAATCAGTTGTAGCATTTGAAAATAATGTTCTCCTTTTTGTAGGTTTAGCAGCTTAATTTATGATTAAATACATTAAAATCTATAGTTATAATGTGACAAAAGATGAAAAGTTTCAAAGAGTATGAATACTTTTGCAAGATACACATATTACTCACTAAATACAACTATCTCATAAACCACACACACATCTAGAGCACCACAATGAGATTCACTGTAGGAGATATTACTTAAGCCAAATGCCTTTTTTGGCAGCAGGCTTGTATGATGAAAGTCTTGCTGCATCAGCAGTGGGAATCTGAAGGGTCCAACAGTTTGTGTAGAAGCAGTTCATGGACCCTGAATGTCTAATTCACAAACATTTAAATGAGTTTTGCCAATCCCCGATCTACTTCACTCTACTAAGGATCAGCTGAGGCAGAGCTCACCTGCTGAGACCTTATGGCCAATAATCTTAGGACTGGTGGCCAGACATGTTTTTGCCTGTGTGGTGTGTAAAATGTAAAATGTTTTTGGAGCTGCAAAGTGACACTGCACACTTCTTAGACAAAACAGGCAGAAAACAAGATGATAAATATTCAGTCCATACTGGAAATATGAAACGAGAGCAAATCCCTCCTACTATTAGCCAGGGAAATACTCTTGATGCAAACACCACAAAAAGTCCTCCTTTCCATGAACAAACCACACCAACTGTTGTTCTGACAGACATGTAAAGAACATTGTAAAAATTGTAAAAATGTTTACAATTCTCTTTTTTTAATCCTTAATCCTTGTTAACCAATCCTAACAAACCTTCACTTTCTTTGATAATTTTGCCACAAAATATTTGATTCAGTCTGTTGTTGCTGCTTAATGTCTTGTTCTTACCTCGTTTCTGCATGAAGGTAAAGAGATCATCCAAAAATTCCTTCCTTTTCGGATCATTGTCCAGCTCATACAGCTGCAGGTCAACACAGAAACATATCAGGGAATTTAATGCAAGTTTTGTGGCTGCTGTAGACAAGGATGTCTTAATACAAAATTCAGTGAACCGTGTCATTTTTAAGCCCAGATTTTGTTGACTTTAACAAGCTCACCTTAGCAAAGTCTCTGGAGGCTTCTCCTCTTCCTCTGTTACTGTCAGCCTCATCTGTCCATCCAGCACTGCCATTCTGAAACACAATAATTAACACAGAAAACATAAAGGTCAAAAAACAGAGAAAAAAATTATGCCAATCAAACAGAGAATTTGTATGAACACAGATAGAGTAGAACCAAAACAACACATCACAGAGATGTATAAAATTTTAGTTGCTGTGAATGAACTCTGGATGTTATTTCTTCTAAAAGTGTTCACTTGGTTCTTTTCGTTTCACTGCAGGTCAAAACATTTGTGCTGGACTCAAGGGAATAGAAAACCAAGCTATAAATTAGCTAAAACAAACATCCAGCTATAAAAACTGGTGGAAAAAAACCCAACAAAAAACTAATGTAAACTCGGAGCTAAAAAATGCATTTATCCAGGGGTTGAAAGAGCAACTTCTGGAGTTATTATACCCCTGATCTCTTAAATTCCCCTCCCCCTTCATCCTCAAACATCTCTATTTGACCTAAACCATCTGCATCTGGACCTGCCCTGCCCCCAACTAGGTCTTCCGACCCAGCTGGATACACGGGCCCCCCATCCTTCAATCTTAACGCAGCTGTGACGGGTGGCCAAGTTCATAGAGTGTAGCTGGCTGTCAGGAGGGGCCAGAGGAGGGTGGGCTGGACACTTGCCTTAGCGTGCATCTCTGCAGGCCTGCACATACACCCACATACACAGACATAAATGTGCAAAGGCTAATCATCAATGTGTGCATGTTTGTGAGTGTAGGAAGGAGGTGTGAGGGGGGCATAATGGCCCCACAAGACGGGAAGAAAGAAAATAAAGGCAGAAAGGAGTGCACGGTATGTGCAGACCAGGAATGTCTCTTAAAGACAAAACCTATAAAAGCATCAGGAATCAAAACAAGATCCTTTTGGAGGGAGACGTTAATAGCAGCAGGACGGGGTCTAGTTTCAACCAGGAGCCTATTGGTCAGTGGCAATTACAAGCCCTGAAATGAGAGCCAGGAGGGCAAAGGTTGTCAAGGCCTCTGAGAGCAAGTCATTTTCACCCTCTCACTCTCGTGTGTCTAACTGTTGTCAACATTCATGCTCCCTAAACAAATATTCATCAGCCATCAACCTGGACAACCGCTGCAGATGGTCTGTTTCAAGGTTACCAGATAAACGCATGAGGAGTTGTGAAAGAAAGGCAGTCATGCCCCCCTAACACACACACACACGCGCGCACTCGCACACACGCGCACACACAGACGCATACACACACACATACACACAAAGTGTTTTTATAAATAACAACATACATAAAATATATATGTCCAACATGTTTCTAAGGCAAATGTTTTTAAGCCTTCAGTGTTAAAAAAGTGCTAATGTAAAACACCTTTTCCTATTAAACTGCATAATCTGACATGTGACAAAGATTACAACTGGTTGATTATGTGGACATAAAACATACATTGTGTGCAAAGGACAGTAAGGCCTCCATATGCACTGTAATTTGATCGCTTTTGTTAAACTTTTAACCTTTATGAATGATTATGACTAAAGATACTTCAGATTTTAAATAAGCATATAGAGACTGTTATAGGCTTCTGTTATAGGCTTCTGACCTTGTTTAGGTAGGTTTTCAGTTGTGCTACTTGAAAGATAAAAATATTTTGCATTGGAAAAAGACATGATGAAAGTGCCATCTAAACAAAAAAATCTGCTCCTGCATACTCACATTACTAACCAAAAAAGAAACCAGTGCGATATACTGAAAACTAAAGGTTGCCTTCATTTTGATAATTAGTGTGCTAGTTAGTAGACACTGCTGAGCATGAAAGAAACAACTCATCAGATCATGACAAACTAATCTGAAATGCTGTTTCACAGTACTCTCCATTTGAGGAAGTGTATCCCCCGACATGGTGCTGCACCCACCAAGTTTTACCATTGAAATGGTGAATTTAGAGCGATGTGCAGTGTTAATTTTCTTCCATACATGTTTGTTGTGTTCCTTTGGCTCCTTCTATGATTAATGCTAAGTTTATACTTGTGCCATTGTGCATTTTGTAAGCTAACCCTGCTTTAAACTGTTCCCTAGTATTTATTGTGCTACTTGTTTACTAATGTTCTTGAAGAAACCTCCTTCTCCTCTACTATAGAACAATGAATTATCCAATTTGTTGGTGGTCTTTTATTCATTAAGAAGCCAAGCTGTTACTCTGAATTATATAAGCATTAATTGTGTCCTTTGTTGTTTTTTCAAGCCCTAATTAACTAAACCAAAAGAAGGATTAATAGTTTTATTACAAAACTAAAGCATATTTTTGTAAACCAAAGACATATTTCTAGCTTACAAACAAAGATAATTCCAACATGCAACTAAGGATTAGAACCGAATGAAGGTGCAAAGGTGCAGGCAGTAGCCGGCGGGTCACTGGACTTGGAAATGTTAAGGAAACACAAATGTGTTTATACACAAACCACATGGACACTTTCACACACATACACAATCATTATTCCCTGAGGGACACTGTTATGGGAGAGCCAGGGTCAAGGTGTTGTGACATCAAATGAGAACAAAGGTAACCGAGTATTACTGTGCAGTCAGTACGTTATATTGAAAACTAAAGGTTGCCTTCAGTTTTCTGGCAACTAAAGTGCCTGAAAACCTTTAGTCACCCGACTCAGGTTTTTTCCAAAACTCAGGTTTTTTCCAAGTTGCCTGTAAAAGTAAAATTTTGAAACAGACAAATTCGGTAACTGACACACACAATAAAGAAGAACCTGCAGTAAAAACAAGAAGTTGTTTAGGGAAACAGAAGTTTAGGTCAAAATGCAACTCATTGCATAAATATTTATTCTACTTTAACTACATTTCCCATGAGCTAAAAAATATTAAGCTATAAGATATCTTTAAAGAAAACAATGATTTTGATGCAATAATAAATCAGAGATGCAACAATTGTCTTGCCAAGTTCAGCTACCGAAACATTTTTTTTTTACCTCTCAATCCAAAACATATTTCAGAATTAAGAGCATTTTCAAAGAAAAAATAATTTTTAATGAAAAGCCTGTGTGAATGTAATTAGTGGACAAAACAGTTACCAAGTAGTTTAAAACAAACTTGACTATAGAGTGGGAGGAGAGAGGCAGAGAAGCCTGTGTTAAATATAGTGGTAGATTAGTAGAAAAATAATTGAGGTAAACATCAACCAGAAGAAAACCATTTGCTTTCTTTAGGAATCATTTTCATCCTATCTTCCCGTTACATCTGGGAAGACACAGATCAAAAATAGTTCAGCTCACTGAACATTGATATTGAAGCAACTTTTTAGTTGATTTCACCTGACACTTTAAATGCAGTCAACCATTAAAATAGAAGCACAGTTAAAGTACTTTAAATGTGCAAAGTCACCCAGATTGTTTATATCAGGAAATAATGTGGATCAAAAGACACATTTTTGGAACAGAAGAAGAAATAACTTCTATAATTGGCTTCATTCAGACTCCCTTAATGTCAATGTCAGGATATCTGACCCAACACTCTCAACACCCAAAGGTTTAGTGGCTGATCGGTCTTGGATGACCTAGTCTGGCTGGAGGTGGAAGTCCTACTGTGGAGGGATCCAAAGAACCGAACAAACAAAGAACTTTTGTTTAACAAAGAGGCCGGACACAACTGAGTCAATAAGAATCACCCTGTTCAGACTCCAAATAAAAGCTTGTTCTACATTTGTTTATGTGGAGCAATGCTCAGTCAGAAGTTAGTCTTATAGCATGCGATTTTTGCATCAATATCCCTGTTCGAAATCCAACATAAAAAAATCTCAGGACATCCAAAGCTGGGAATGAAAGAGACCACGGTTGTCATTTCGGAAAGGGATCACTCCTGGCTGACTGAAGCAGTGCTGTCAAAAAGCGTTTCGAAGCAGAGAGTCTGACTTTACCACATGCTGGACGCAATCAGCGCTTTCTACTCTTGTCCAGAGCCGACAGTGATGTGAATGCTGCTGGATTTTTACAAATCTCCTACTTATTATCACAAAACTCATCATTACATCACCAAAAATTATTTCTCTTGACCTGTTGAAAAAGATCTCCTATTTTATTTTACCTCTAATTACCTCTAATTATGCTGTGACATATATTTTTTTTGCATCTTTAATTATTTGCTTTGTTGTATCTTACTAATTAATAAATGATGTGACATTTTTTCCAAAAGATTGTCCTTGCTTATTATTTTATATATAAAAAAGCTTAAAAATATTAAGAATTTTTAAATTTTTATAACGTTTAAAACTAGTTTCCTCCTAGTGCAAGCCCACTTTTGTTTCTTGTTCATTCAGGAGAAGTGAATGGTGAACTTCTTGCAGTCTGTCAGGTTTCCTCAAATGTGATGAATAAACTCAAGTTAACTGCATTGTTTGATAACTAGGATCAATTTGAATCTATGTGCTTGACTTTCAATCTGTCTGAGTGCATTATATTGACATTTGTTGGTAATCAGCGCTGTGTACTGGTTAGTAAACTGAGATAACACATAGGTTGAGTTTCAGATTGAATTTACTTTGTTAAAAAATGATTACATCGAATTGATAATAAGTCTGATCGGGTGATTTGTGGACAATGTTACTCACTGTGACTAATAGTTTGCTTCATTACATATTTTACTTATGCTGTCTCTGGTGAAGAAAACGCTCATATGCACACAAATGCAAAGTAATTATAACAGGAGCCAATAACCAGGAGTAGACATGTTGGCTCTTGAAATGAGACCTTGGTCAGCTGAGGAATGTTAACACCATGTTGCTCCTTGTAAAGTTAAGAGTGGCTACTGATGTGTTTGGTCCGCTCCTTATGATCAGTCACCTCAGCCCCCTCATCACGTCCACCACTCCACCCAGAAATGACTTTAAAAAAAGTTCCCACACCTTCCCACATTTTATGGAAGATGTGTACATGACTTGACATGCCTAATGTATTTAATAACTGTTTTATTGAAAGCAGTGTAACACAAAAACCTCTTACACGAGTGTTGGTTGATGCAAGATTTGTTTGACATCCATCACAACTA